CCTTAAACATTTATGAAATGTTGCAATTTAGTCCCCTATCCTTAACAAATCCAGACCCTCCCTTTTAGATTCTCTTTCTCTTTCAGTTTGCCACGTGGCACCACCCTAAACTCACTGTCTCTTCTCTTCACCTCGAGTCAACACTCTTCTCTCTCTTTCTCAAAGCTATCTCTCTCTATCTCATAGTTATCTCATTCTCCCTCGCTGCACCCTCCCCTTCCGCGAGCTCCACATGACACACATATATACACATGATGGCATCACCACCATTTTCACCGCATTAGCTCTCTCTCTCTGTTTCTCTCATTTCCTCTCTTCGTCTCTATGGAGCATAGAGGAACTTCGACGAGTCCTTCATCTTTCCGACGATTGGTAAGCCTTGGGAAGTAATCTCTCTATTTTCCGTCCTCGTGGCATATTTCTAACTTAGGTTTTCGTATTTGGGACGACAAGTTGCACGGAGATACCACGAGGGTGCTAAACCTAGTTCCCAACGAGCCGTGGGCTTATGAGCTCAAGTCCGGCCACCTTCGACTCTTTTCACAGCAAATTAAAGGTAGCAATATTTCCCTCTCTTCCTACTCTTCGTTTTGGTAGGTAAATCGTGCCCTAGATGTTGGTTTGCCATCGATCGGAGCTAGGAAGGCTCCGACCTCCTTCCTCAATAAGAAATGGGTCGAATTACCCAAGCTTAGTGAACCTAGCCATTTTAGGCCGTTTAGGAGTCGGGCCTTAGGCCCGTTAACCATTAAGCCCAAACCTAAAATCCTTTTACTTATTTATTTTTCCTTTTATTTTTATTTAAACCCAAAGCCCTTTTGTTAGGCTAGACCTTCAGCCTAAGACCAAAGGGCTTCGGCTCGTAAGCTTTTAAGCCTAAAACCCTAAACCCTTTGCTTTGGGCCAAGCTTTCAAGCCCATTAACCCGGTCCAACCCAATACCCCTGACCTGGTTTGACCCGACCTGGTTTGACCGACTCGTTGACCCCGTCAACGGTTAATGTTGACTTTTGTTGACTTTTTCGGGTTTTCGTTCAGGATCCCTCCTGGGCTAAGTTCAATGTCCTAAATCCGTTTTTGATGTCTGTTTACCCAAATTCAATCGTTTGAATATAATTTTATGAAGTGGACCCTTTATGTGCTTAGGTGCATTTATCATGACGTTTCTGTCTTTGCTAGTTTGCGTGGCTTTTCGACGGTGAAGTATCTGTGAGTGGATCCCTTCTAAGATGCATGTTTTAATAGTAGAATCGCATACATGAAAAGCATGATTTAATGATTACGTTTTATGAAACGTTTTATAAGATATTATGCTTACTTAGAATATTTTGGAATATCATATTTTCTATCGAACCCATGTTCTTTGTAGGATATTTGATGGATGACGATATACTATTTAGAACATGTTTTTACACACTTCTTTATAGTATAGATGATGGATGACTTTATACTATAAAGATGTTTTTGAGATATATGTACCTAAGACTATATTCAATGTTTTTGTGCGTATCTAATGGTCACTGTTATGTGTGTTTGGCAACGATATTTATATTGTTGGGCCTGTTTGGCAATAATATTTATATTGGCTTCGGCCGGGCATAGGTTGGGCCTGTTTGGCAACGATATTTATATTTGCTTCGGCCGGGCGTAGGTTGGGCCTATTTGGCAAATGAAGGAAGTGTTCTAAATGGCATGTTTGGCAAATGAAGGGTTCTGATTGAATAGATATTGATACCACTAGTAGCACACTATATACGAGATATGTTTTATGGCATGCTAGGGTTTTCAGAAAACCTATTACATATTATGCTATTGATGTTTTAATAAAATTTTGGGGGTTAGTATGTTGATAACAGTTTTAGTATGTGTGTGTGTGTATTTGTGTGTATATATCAACTTGGTCCCTCATGTTTCTTTTGCGCTCCCTCAAGATTTAGATTCGAGGTGTACGATTCCGGCGTCAAGGCACTTCCGCATTGGCATCTTCAAGTCATCTTGGTGTATGACCCATTCCTTTGCTCATTCAATTTTATATTATTCTTTTTAGTGTTCTAAATTAGTTGTATGCTCTAAACACGTTCCTCATTCGTATATTAATTATATTTATTTTAGTTCTCATATTTTCAATAAATGGCTTGCGTCACCTTCGGGTGTCGGCCAGCACGTACCTACCATGGTGTTCGGGGCGTGTCAACCATCCCTCGTTCTACATCATTTTTGTAACATATCTAGATAGAAAGTTTTAACGAAACACTTCCGACACTGTTCACTTTTAATGAAAAACCACATTTTTACTTTTCCTTGGTACTATTCAGGTCACCTTTATTTGTCATTTTTCATTAAAACTAAAATTTTTTTAGACTTTTCGTTAGTTTTCCTTAAGTTTAATTAGTTACAAGGGGAAGGTTCTTCAGTTTGGGCCTAGTTTACTTTTGCTTTCAATATATTTATATATGGGCATCTGTTCTTCTGTTGAGTTGAAGAACAAACTATATGAATTTTTAAAAATTTAGTAAAAGGACAAAGAGAACACAGAGATTAACAAACATTAATATTTTGGGTTGGGAATTTGGAGGCTAAAACTCAAAGTTTATTATTCTTCGGTTGGACAATGTGGAAGAGTATTTTTTGATAAAACTAAATCAAACTTTGATATTAATTTTAAGAGTTATTGATTTGTTTATAAAATAAGATTAAATTTAGTTTTAAGACGAGTGTTGTTGAAATTGAAAAGAAAAAGAGACCACTTGATTTAACTATCGATGAATAGAATTTAAGAGTTTTGTGTAAACTAAAAGAAATATAATACTAAGTTTACAACAACAAAAAAAATTAAGAAATATAATACTAAATTATTTAGAAAGGTTGAGAGAGTGAGGGTAGGCCTAGACAAGTAGACATAGTGCCTCCGCCTCCGATTGTTAAGCTCTATGTTGTTGTGCTGCTGTTCGAGCATTTGTTGAGCAATGCTACACTACATATTAGCTTTCTCGTTTCAGACAAAGTTGGTGAAATGTTGGAGAAAAGTTGAAGAATAACTGTAATTAATCCGCTTTAACCTACTCGCTATCATACTTGGATCATACGTAAACTGGATTATTTCGTGCAAATCGTAAAGCCATAAATTATCTGTATGGGAGAAGTGAATTGTTTGACAAGGTAACAAAATTCTTGGTAAAGCTCGGACATCCAAGTCGCACATTTCACAACATTTGTAATTACAAAGTTCTTGATGATCAGTAGGGACTTTTTCTCCATGGCCTCAGAGAATAAATTTAAATCATGCCTACCCAGGAAAAGCATAACAAAATAAAAAATAAATATGCTATGTGGGAAAAAAGCGTACTTCTGTATCAATCATAATCTATGATAATCTTTCAAAGCATCTTTTGTTTAGGTCAGAGACTCAGAGGATGGCAGCTAGTGTTCTTTAGCAGCAATCACAGGAAGAACTTTGGCACATAATAACGAATGGGAATCGGATAGTAATTAAAGCAAAGCTGTTGGTGATGGTGGCGGTGGATGCAGCGTGATGGATAAGGAAAAGTCAGCAATTCTTTTTTAGAGGCCAACAAAATTGTCATTGTCAACGTGCAGGGAAAATGGACTTCCAAATACCATATTAAATAAATATGGAGAAATTAAAAGAAGACTAAAAGAAAGAGAAAGTAAGCAGGGTTTGTGATTTCGTTATGTGCACTTTACAGCATAAAAGTAGGTTTGAGACTTCAAAGATGAAAAATCACTTCGCATCAAAGATCGAAATTCACTATACATCATAAAACTTTTTATTTTTTTATATTTTTATATATTTATTTTTATCATGAACATGATGATTAATTTGCATCATTTCAATCACAAGTATGAAAGATAGATTCCCCTATTGCAAGAAAGTTTTGATCTTATATAAATAGGTTTTGGGAGACTATATATAGCATAAAAATTAACCCGAACATTCAAATATTGAAGGAGTATATAGTTCAATATTCTAGTATAGTTTGAAACTTCCCATCTCCTAAATTATTGTAATAGTTTCGCATTCTCCTCGCTTAAGAATATTAATTTTTAAATGTTGAAGGAAAGATTATATAGTATCAAAGAAAGATACTAAAACACTCAATGCAAGGTTATTGCATCAACCACGTTTACCTTTATCATCAACATTCTACTCTCTCAACTGACCAGGTACTTAGTGTTGTAAAATTTAATAATAATAATATTATATTAAATTTATTAATTGAATGGAAATTAGAAGTGGAGCATTTTTGGTAGAAAGATGTGTACTCAAATGAAGAGTTGCAACTTTTGACTCTTCATGAATAGTCACATCATTTCCAAAGAGGTATCTCATATTCTATAAATAGGGAAGCCCCATATAATCACAAAATAACTTTTCATTGTTTTACATAATCATACATAGAGTGTACTAAATATTAGAGAGTCTCATTGAGTCCATACGAGAGGGTTTTCAACACAATCGTGGTTCATGGAGCCTTGTGATTTGGAGTGCTACTATTACAAGGACGTGCTCATTGTATCTTGAGAGACATGCGCTGATCAACCATGAGCACCGTAGTAGGACTTTGACTTGTCTTAAGGACAAAGTGTCTAACACTTGACTCGACCGTATTTTCAAGTTTTTCTAATCCATTATGTCATGTTCATTTAATATTGGTTACTCATGTGCATGCATTAATTTTAATATATAATTACATGAATTATTTCTTAAATTTTTATGTGATTTAATATAGTAATTAGACCCTAATTTTTCCAACACTTAGATGTGCCTCAGTTCGTTTACAGAGACCGTACAATGAAGTCAATATATATGAACAGTTTAATTCAATCACGTATTATGTATAAAAAAAATAAAAAATAAAAAACAAACATGCGTACACCAGCAAGTAGATGGAGATCTTTAAAATATGACTACCAAAGAATTCAAATCTTATATGTGCAAGAAAACGCAGAATGCAAGATGATTAAAAGAAAAGGAGAAACTATGCTTGACTCCTCATACGCCACCCGCAATAGCCAATCGAGAAACAGATTGAACTTCTGCTTGTGGCATACAGGGAGCCAGGCATAACCCAAGTCACCTTTTACTGCAGCCTCTACGTCCAAGCGAAGCTTCCTCTTTGATCGCCGTAGAAACGTAAATGTAAAGGAAAACTCATGAAAGAGAGAGAGAGAGAGAGAGAGAGAGAGAGAGAGATGAAGACTGAAGTGATATGTAAGCTCTCTATATATAGAGGATAAAGCCATCGGCCTATATATGAGTGGAGAGATTTTCTTTCCATGTACAGTGCTTGTACTTTTGATGCACTTTCCTTTTGAGAGGGATTCTCATTTAAAAACTATATCACAAAGGAGATTTGGAAAATCAAATAAATTAGAATCAGGAACAGGAAGTGGCATTGCACTTCTAAACCCCCTCCCTATTTTGTTGCTGAAAAAAATCTTTTATATTTATTGTAAAACAAATGTTCAAAAAATTTGAAGATGTTAAAAATGGATCAACAAGATATTTGACACGGATGAATGGGATTGTATTCCGACCAAAATATTACTCAGTTTTTATAACAAAAAACATAAAAAAGTTATGGGTAACATCAGCGCAATGACAACATACACCACCCAAATATTTAAGTTATGGGAGGTGGTTGAGGCGAATTCTAGGTCATTATACTACTTGACTCATTTTAAATTCAATTTATTACGTCACATAATAGTGGCCAAAGGTTGTTAAAATGCCTCAGTAGGTGTTCACAATCTTTGCAAAAGTGACTTGACCACCGGTTGGTCTAAATTTTTAAAGAAAAAAATGGCTGAGAAATGAGTTACACTAGAGTTTTCTCAATGAAAATGTGCAACTAGGGGTCCCACCATCACTTTTATGTAAGGATATTTACAGTAATCTGAATAGTTTACTTTGTGGCTTTTCGTGTTAATGAATAGTGAATCTCTTGTGATGATCTATGCCATGTAAGTATTTAATCACTCTTATGTTCATCTTTCATTTGAGTACTTGATGGGATTTGTTTATGCATGCGGGTTTGCCCCGTCAATTAGGACTCTTTGTCTGTAGGGATTTTTTTTTTTGTTTTGGGGGGGGGGGGGGACGACGACTTGTGAATTATGCCACATGGAAAATGAGGCAGCCCTTATAGCCGGTTTAATTACCATGCTTTTCTATCTTCTTTTCTTTTGAGCAAGGTTTGTTGGGTACACTTAGATGATTCTTGAAACCAAAGTATTCATAGACTGTTTTAATAACAATCTCCAGTATATAGCCAGTACAACAGTACTCACGTTTCCCCTTCCTTGAAAACCCTACCATCATTGGATCCTAGTCATCTTCACCCAACAGAGAACCAGAACACCATATATCATGCACGTGAAGAACTTAAGAGACATTTTCCAAAGCAATTTTACTTACTTCAGACAAATATCTAATATGAGTTCCCGTTTTCTTAAACTCAATAATCCAAGAAAACTATCATTTACTGTTCGATTATATTCAAGTTTAGGAGACCAAGACTCTATATATATACCAAACGTGTGAGTGAATATAAGAACAGTCCGTGTACCGGACGGTATTGTACAGAAGTCCAACGCGGATAATTTCATATGTACATTGTTTGTATCTGCGTTGAACAGAGACAAACATGCATCCTCTTCCTCTTCCCCTATTTGTAATTTGAAGCATGCATGCGTGCGTGCACATGCATACACAAAATTTCAAACTTTCTAGGTCAAAGATCGATCAACCGTAGCTAGCTAACAGGATGATGATCGTGATTCCTCATCCCCCAATTAAATGGCCCCATATTCATTTTTCCACAGTTGTAACATGGTTAAAATGGACAGCCACTAAGCCAACAATCTCAAATGAGCACACAGTTGGACCCATTAGTTTAGTGGTCGGTCCATCTAACATAATATAAGCTCCATTTACGCCGATGTTATGGAAAATTTGAAAATGGAAACTAGAACATGCTTTTACTGTTGTCATGAGCGATGATCGACCCCATTCTTTTTCTCCAATTTTAAGGTGTGCTTCCTTTTTTTTTTCCCGATCTCCCTCGAAGATCTTTCAATTTATCTGCTTTTAGAGGGTGGACCAGCAGAGGGTGAGTGCTTGTTGCCTTTCCGCTTTAGTACTATTTTATATATCCGGTTCAATATATCACGTACCACATATCATACAAAAATATGCTAGAAAATAGTAACATCAAACTGATGCTTATTTTTAGTTACACTTCCTAGAACTTCATTGTAATCTCACTTTGTTTCTGTAACTCAAAAGTCACATTTTTAACCCCTAAAATTCAAAATTAAATCTACTTTGACTTGTGGACTCTCTCTTCTCTTTGAAACTTATAGGTTGCCTCTTGAAATATATGTGGACCCAACACCCAATAAGACTATATCACATGTGCAATAAATTTACGTATAAATCTCCATTATGCGTTAACATTCAACAATTAGATGATATTAAGTTTAAAAGAAATTGAAGAGATGAAAAAAAAATTTGATTAGTATGGCGCACCCAAATCAAACCCACATAAGAAATTAACGGACCTAAGGCAATATGAAGCGAATTTTGAATTTTATAAAAACGATTTTCAAGTTTCAGGGGCAAAATGGGATCAAAATCGAGTTCCAGAGACAAAGTGGAGCGAACTTTGAACTTCAGAAAGTAAAGTGACGATTTTTAATTATCGCGGATCAAATTGAGATTAAATCAAGTTTATGGGGACATAACTAAAATTTAGCCTTATATTAGTTGTGTGTTTCAGTGCATTGCATTTGTTGGTATTAATCGTGCAAAACTTAACTATGTACTTCAATAGTTAATTAGAGTAATGTAGTTTACTTATGTAGTTGAATTTGTAGTTTAGGTTAAGTTACCAAGTAAACAAAGCTATAAAGTTTTGCTATATGATTTGTGTCGAACTGCGCATGCATCCATGCACCATCCGGCAAAACATCTCTAATCAACGTTAGCGGAGAAGAACGACCCACACCATCCCACTTTGTCTAATTTAACCTTCCTCTAGTACAACAAAGTTGGCATACATTAATTGTTTCAACTTTTGTCTACATTTTAATTGGGAATATTATTCTCTCTCTAAATTTCCAAACCGCCAATCCATTCAGCAACAGTAATCTTTTTCCTTGGTAAGTCACCAACATTATTCTTATTTTCTTGGACATAAAGAGTAACCAACAGGGATGATTTTGACAACTGATCAACTCATAATTCACAATGAAATATGTCAATATCATTGTGACTGGTGCATGAATCAATTGGGTCAAAAGATTGGCACTTTTCTTTCACTAATTATTCGGATTAAGCCAAAGTTCAGGAACACCATCATTAGTCAATATTGTTATCGAGGGTAGATTTTTGGACGGATCGGATAGAAAATAATATTTCCAATTTTCTTTTTAAAATATTAGTGTCACATCCCGGCTCGGGTCTCCACCACATCCTGAGCTCGACTCCGTCGTAGTACGATATTGTCAATTTTGGGCCTCAATCATGCTCTCACGGTTTTGTTTTTTGGGAACTCATACGAGAACTTCCCAATGGGTCACCCATCCTGGGAATGCTCTCACGCTAACTCGTTTAACTTCGGAGTTTCGATGGAAATCGAAGCCAGTGAGATTCCAAAAGGCCTCGTGCTAGGTAGAGATAAGAATATACATATAATGCTTACATGATCCACTCCCCTGAGCTGTGGGATGTTACAATTAGAATTAGAATCAGATCACAATTTTCAAATTAATTTTTTAAGTCGGAGCAATCTTAAAAATTTTGGAATATAATTTGTATATGCAATATATTGTTTTTTTTTAATATTTAGTATATACTTGTGTATAAATTCAATTAATTTTTTGCTTACTATTATGCTTATCCTTTTTAATACATAAGTATTTTTTTATTTGCACAAACGATAACATTAGTAAGTTAAATTATTAAATGTTAAGGGGGAAGGGAATCACTAGAGACCGAATTCTCATTAGGATGCATAGGAATTATACTTTCCTCTACTGCGTTTACAATTTTCATTCTAATTTTTCAAAAAATATTTGGATTTGAAAATTCTACTTTCTGAATCGGAAACAGCAATACTAACTTAGCAAACAACTTTTTCGTAAAAATGTTGGCTTTTGGATTTCCTTTGCCTCCTTTTGATAAAACATGTCGACCACTATTCGTTAATGGGAACTTAAGCGGGTCCTTTAAAGAAAACTAAATCATTAAATTTAGAGATGAACGTCATACATGATGCACTTAAGAAATTTCGCTTCTAAGACCGTGCCGAGTGAACTGAGTCAAAGTTTGACAAGAAAAACAAAAAGAAAAGGTTGAGCTAGCCTATTGGTCTCTCTCTTGGAGTAAAATCACAGTGCACAAACGGTGGAAATCCCATGTCATGTGGATTGTGTAGCATTGCCTTCAACCATTACCTTCGCTTGGGTTGTCAAACTCACATCACGGATTGAAATCTAACATCTTCAGCCATTCTGCCTCCGCTAACAACTCGGTAAACCTTAGCAAAGAAAAGGACCTCTACCGGTTGATCAAATAAAAAACAAAATGGCCCCTACCGGGCGCGGTCTAGGGTCACTTGAGTCAACCGCGGGCACCCAACTGCCTCTTTTTTTTCCTTGTTCGTACTACAAAAACTTCAGATTCTTGCTGAATTCAAGTTTTCGGCTCCAATCCTACCAAACTGATACCTACTCTGTTTTGTACTTCCTTGCGCACAACGTAAAACGCGCAGCAATTCAACACCAAGCAGCATTTCAAACTTGTATTTTTCTAATCGACCCTACGGATTCTGCAACAAACGCCGTTTTTTTTCTTTTTTGTATCACGTTCTGAATGACTTTCTAATCAGATCGTAGTTGGAATATAACATGTACAAACTACGCAGTTTATTGGTGCGGCCATTCACAAATTGATCCTTCAGAAGCCAGAACTTCACTACAGTTCACGGTTAAGAGTGAACGTAAAAATGGTTTCGAGATTTTTATTGACGCTCAACACTTGACACATTTGCAACATAAGGATTTTTCTGTTCTACTGCAGTTTTGTTTGCCAAGTAGAAGTACAAAGGAATGAACACGAAATATAAAGTAGTGCAGAAAGGTTAAGATGTCTCTACTCCGTTGGTAAAACAATGTGCAGTATCGATCAATTAATTACTGGTTTCTGCTTTCTACAGAATGATCTCGTAAACATGTAACAACATACTTTTGATGAAGACATTACCGTCATTTGTCATTCGTGTTCAAGTACAGATGATGATCTCTAATGTAATCAATTACTTCATCTGCAGTCAGATATTTTATTGACAATCCTCTTGAGATGCAATCCCTGAAGAACAATGTAAATTGTTAGTTCTACAATCCCATTAATATTTCTGTCAAGGAATCAGATTGCCTTACCTTACTCTCGTCGAACTTATTTGGTTTGGTACAAGTTCATCCACCACTTTTATGTTACCCTGTAATAAAAGAAAAGGTTTAACAACAAACATCAAAGAGACCAGAAGCAATGGACTATGGGAAGCTTCAAATCAAAACTGTTCAGGCAACAGAAGGTTTTACATTCTGCAAACTTCAAATCACATCGAAATGTTTTTCTTTTCAATTTATACCAGTTCCACCCTTGCAAAGTACAATTCGAATAATCTGGATAACTTGTATTCAGGAATCAGACTTAAAAACTGCACGAGAATAACATCATTTTGGGAGGTAGTTAAACTAATTAGGTGTAGCTAAAAAACCCAGTGTCATGCCACTGAACGAGAGTTTGATTATTATTACAAATTTACAGTTCACCATGAGCACGAAAACAATGGTAAATCAACATACCTTGTTCTCTGTCAAAATTTTGTCATTTGATATAATCTTGTCAACATCTTGTCCATCCCTGTGAATGCAAACCACACCGTAATCTCTGCATATGCTCCTCACCTGATAAATAAGTGCAAGAATATGGTGGGTTACCATCTGCTTGAACCAGAAACAACTAATTGAAAAGTTTTAAACCCTACCCCAATTCAAGAGTTATGTTACTTTATATTACACGACAAAGATCCACTAAATAATTGGTTAGTTTCTAGTCAAGCAATATAAAATCCATTCGTGCATAATTGTTGGAAATTAAGATAAAATCTTCTCCTAAGAACTATTCACCACCTTTAGATGTGAATAGCACTTTCATATGTAAACTACTGCACTTTCATATGTAAACTACTGAACTAAAACAAGTATAACCCTCCGGATGAAGTCATTTTAGTCTGTAGCATGTTAATAATACTAGAAAATGAGATGATTATATCAAACGAATTTACCATACATGGCCACCGTAATATAGAATATAGACGTACCTGCTCAGGAATCCAAAATCCAGGAATGCCAAAAGAGTGGAGTAGATCAGAACCACAGACAAGCATGCACTTAAGGGAATCTATCAAGAGCAAGACACAGAAGTCAATCATATTGCCTCCAAATTATGATGAAGTAGAACTGCAAACCAGGTTCAGAATGGTCATGCATCAATTTGACCACACAAAAAAGTCTGTAAAACTAAATTTGTGATGAGTGTCAGCACTGCAGCTTATCATGAAATAAGAGCTCTTTTTAGGAGAAAAATAAGAGCCGTTTTTAAATTTTATTTTCTAGCAAACAGATCCATGGGATAAGAGCCTTAAGATACCATATGTTGAAGTGACAAAGAGTGTCCGGAGCATATAACTCCTTAATCTAGAAAACAGGGTTTCAAGATCCACTATTGACAAAGCTTCATTTCTGACACACTTCCTATAATGTTACAGGTTACAGCCATAAGTTTTGGGTGCATAAATGTGCTTTACATCTACAACTGTCTATTTGCACTTTTGCAGATGTATAATTTTACAAAAGAACAGCCCGTGTGAGGATAAATAATAATTAGCTAAATTGTTCAAAGGAAAACAAGGGATAACAGTTTTGAAGATCTTACCACTTGGTATCAGCCCAGCCTCAGATATGAAACCCTTGACTCTAGATAGAACAGTTAAGGTGCGCTGGAAGCTACTTTGTCTTGCCTGTAAAATCGGTTTATAACTTCTACATATAAGTACACAGAACCCTTGTGCTAGTAAATAAATAAGACATAGAACTGCACTACAGAAGCATCATCTAAGATTCTAAAGAATTTGTATATTGGAGAGAGAGGCAGATATACCTCCCATTGATCAACCATTATAAACTCTGAACTCTTACAGGCAAGATGACATAACTGTACACGGTGTTCAGCAGATATAAGGCCCTACATAGCCAGCCAAGTCACAATGTCAGTTTGTGGCAAATGAGGGATATAACATATCTGATTATGTGATTTAATTACAGCACTTAAGTGGGATAAAGAGGAAATAAACTTCAGAATTGAAATCACAAATAATCCAAGTAACCTATGCAATAACAAAACAGGATCACTATGTTGCTTCTACAACCATGGTTAAAAGCGGTCATGCAACGAACTACCTAAAGTATTCTCATTTTTGAACTCTGTTAGGCACATTGTGTACGCTTAACCGTGGGCATATGAAAGCTCTTCTACTCCGATGCCTACAGAAATGCTATTACAGGTTACATACCTTCTTGCTGTAAGCATCATTGACAGGTGAAATATAAGCTCCAACGACACAAAAGCCTTCTGAATTCAGGGTATCTCTTGCCAGCTCTGTTGACAACAACAAAATCGATCAAAACATACATTAGATACTGCAATTTCCACTGAAAACTGAGCAAAAGATTCAAAAGCCACAAGTAGAAAATGAAATCTATGAGGCCATGACCCGGTTCCTAAAGAGAGCGCAATTTGCATATATGTAAATACACAATTTAGCTGTGAAATGAGAAAGAAATTTAGTTTGTGCCACAACTTACCCATCATCCGTAAATGCATATAGGTAGGAGGATTGAAACTTCCAGTTGATACTAGGACTACGTATTTCTTGTCCCTAGTTTAGAGAGAGAAAGAGTGAGCTACCATATTTCGAAGAACATTATTTCTTGTCCCTAGTTTAGAGAGAGAAAGAGTGAGCTACCATATTTTTTGTCAACGTTAACATCACAAAACATCTTTAAGATCAATTTACAAACAAATTCAATTCTCCGGAAAATAAAAGGTAATGCATTTTCTACTGCAAGCTAAAAACTAATGTCTTTAAGATCAGGTGAGCTTACTTGTCATCGTGGTTAACCAAATGTAGAGCTAATTTACAAACAGGCAGAGGAATGTCCATCACAACTGAAAATGGTAAAACGACCAAATTAAACGAGTATCACAAAATATGTTACGTTTTCTTACGTTTTCCTAGCAGCCAAACAGAGCATTAAAAACCATTCACAAGGATACAACAAAACAAGAAAATCCAAGCGAAAGCAACGGCAAATAAGCCAAACCCAGATTATAAAATTGGAAAATAAGCCACACTCGGATTAGAAGATTGGAAAATGGTTAAAAAAATTACCCTTTTGAGAGTCGATGACTTAAAGGCCCCCTCTTTCACGCCGCTTGGAGCCGGTCCTCTCGACGATGATGGTCAAGGGGTCGGGGCGTTGGAACTGAAGCTCAGACGCGTATTGGGTTCGATAGACGCCGCAGCTGGGTGCGATGAGATGCGATTGGCAGCTGAGAAAAAGTTATGGTTTTTTTCTAGTCAAAACTCTGAAAATGTTCCACCCAGAAAAATAAACAAAACAAAAGGCCCTTTTTATTGGGTTATTTTTTAATTGTTGTTTAACTTTATCCGTTAATCGATTAGTGAGGCGCAGTGAAATTGAAGGTGAAAAGTTTGACACTTTTGTGTTTGTCTAAAGACTCTGTTTCCTAAGCTGTTGAGCTCTGCTAAGATTATGGCGGATTTCACAAGGCTTCCCATGGCGTCTTGTGCTCTTGTTTTAGTCAGGGATTCTGCCGGCCTTTCACGCCTTCAAAACTGCAACACCATTTGCCTGGCGCTTTCTTGTATTGCTATTCAGAACCATGAGGTCCAGGAGTCCCAGTCCCAGAGCTGTTGGGCAGCCCAATCAGGTCAGTCTGACTCTGAACTTCATTTGATCCTTAACCTTTTCGTTTCGGTATTTTTTTGTATTACGAACAATATTACTAGGCTAAGTTAGACTAAGAGAACGAGAGAGGGTTTGAATTTGGGAAGTAGTGAGTAAAAGAGGAAGCCTCTGTTCGTTTTGCTATTGAAATTGTACTTAAAATTGTGCCTATTGATGTTATTTTGTAGGTGGAGGAGCCATACAACCGTGCCAGACATAACCCGTTTTTCGATGGCCTTTTGAGGCTTGATGATCAGAATCGTAGCCCACCTACTGTTGATTTTCAGGCAATCCATGGAAGTCGGAACATTTCTCGTACGATGTCGGATATTGGTAACACACTCACAAGAAAAGGGCAAGTTCCATTCTCTGATGATAGTGTTCTTAAGCCCTTTGAAGGGGCGAAATTTGGTAAAACTGCTTCATTTGCGTTCGCTAATGTTCAGTCAGCTTTTAGCTTTGATTTGAGGACATTAAATGAGCCTGCCATTGAAGCAAATGATCATAAGCATGGTAGAGTAAATGGTCTAGCAAGTGCCACAAGTGGGAAATCATTCAGGGTGAATAGAAGGAAAGAAAACCTGTCTACTGTTTCACTTCCTCAGTCTGCTGCATCGTTTTATAGTGGGGACTCACCGCAATTTGAAATTGTTGCATCGTGTCCAAGCATTTACAGGCTTAATTTGTTTCTCAAAGCCACAAAGGATGAAGTTAATGCCGGTGTCCCGGAAAAATTCTTACATGTTGTAATGGCTGAAGATATTGCTGGTAATGCCTGCCTTTAAATCTCCTTTCCAAGTTTTTTGTACTTTTCCTTTTGTAATCTTTGTATCATTTCTTTTGAAATTAACATGTGTAAATAAGAGACCACATTGTACTACAATATGAGTTTCAAAACCCAATTCATGACAACATTGACAAGACAAACTTAATGTGCAATGTGCCCCGAATATCCAAAATTCATTGGAAATCATTTGAATTGTTATTGAGTCTAATACTATATAAGTCCATATCTTTTGTTAATACAAATTTAAAAAATGTCAGAAACACTGTATTGCAATGCTGATAATATGTGTTTCGTTGTGATTTTCTATATCTTTCAGCCAAATTTGTGAATTGATGTCAGAGTATACATTTTTGCCACTCTTGGACAATTTGCAGATGTTGGATCCATTGTTTCAACCATCACTTATGCCTTCTACCTGAATGAAACACAAAAATGTGACCAGTTGTGTACAGTGCCTGTTATCAACATGAAGAGGTCAGACATAAATTCTCAAGCTGAACTCAAATGGTTACTTGATTCTTGTCAAATTGATCAGTCGTCCTTAATCTTTGTAGATGAGGTACGTTCTATTGACTAATGTTGTACTGTGGTCTCCTATTTTCTTCCACTTGGGTAGATTAGTGCTGATAGCAACGATATTCCAAGAACTGACTTAATACAAAAATGCTATACCTGCAGATTCTTTTTATTTTGTTTTTTGGAAATTTTGTTTATTCCTTGCTGCTTATATTCCATGTGTATCACTTATACCCATCCTGTGTATATTGTAATGAAATGTGGAACATCCATATTGTTGAATCATATATGAATCATGCGGTTTTACAGATTACTTATGTGGATTCTTTTTCTCTCTAATTTTTCACCTTTACATGTGACTAGTTGCGGCCTGAAATATAACTTTTCAATTATGGCATGCCTGTTCAACTTATGTGTTTACCTTTCACCGTGAAATTTTGAGCAGATTGATCTGTCATATTATGATCTATTTGGGAGTCTTAAAATAGTTCTATTAAATGGCCACAAGCTCCCAGCCAAGCAAGAGGTAAATCAAATTCAAAAATTGGGATATACTTGAAATTTTACCGTGGGAAATGATTCATACTCGTTTCTTCCTATATCAGGGATTGAAAGAGGCAGTAGTTGAAATTTTCAATTGCAAACAGGTGATTTGCTGAACTCAAAGCGGATGCGTTTAAGCTTATCCTACTACTTGCTGACACGTTCAATGTAGCTAAAAGTTGCCTAATATAAGATTTTGTCTTGTTTTACAGGGAGAATCTGTATATCCCTGGGTTAAGAGTGTTACTGTAACAGAGGTATGATTGAAACCTATGCATTGTAACCTTAGTAGCTTCCTTTGTCCCTATTGTCCTTAAAATGAATGAATATCCTGATTATCGTGTTATCAAAACAGGATAGCTCATGCTGCACAGTTGTTGCTGAGAAGTTTTCTCTGATTTTACCTGAGATTTTGGCTGGACCAGGATTCAGCAGACTTTTGGTACCTTTCTTTTTCCTTTTTCATGCTGTAAAATGTGAACAACTTATTTGAAGATCTAAAAGACCTATTTCTTGGTGCACTGTTTTCAGCTCTCTCTCAGTCTCTCTCTTTCTCTCTCTCTCTCTCTCTCTCTCTCTCTCTCTCTCTCTCTCTCTCTCTCTCTCCTGTTCATGCCCCACCATAGAGACCATGTACTTTGCAGCAACGAGTTAAAAACCTCCCATGTTTTTTCTGCGTCCATCTTTGGCTACCTTAGTCAATTGTAATTTACTGCTAGTAGAAAATTTTCCTTACAGCATATTGCTGGACTTCATATTTTATTAGCTATGCTCTTGTATAGCATGATGGTACCTATTCCACATTTTCTTTTCTAGGATTCGGCTTGTGGCCTAAGATAGGTAGTCAAATCCTTAACCCTTATAATGTAGGCCAGCCATTTAAGTTGCTGGGTTGTGAGGTTGGGGGGATCGGTAGTTGATATCTTGGTTTGCCATGAAATACTCTTAACTTCAGACTTTAGTTTTCCCTCCATTGCCTTTTTACATTTTTTTTCTCTGGAATTCCTATATCTTGCAGTTAGCTGCCATCCTTTTAGACTCCACAAACTTGTGTGGTTCTCAGTGTTCAATCAAAGATAAGTACATGGCTACACTGTTAATTCATGGTGCTGGACGCTTTGGGTGCAACGGCCTTTACCAGTTACGTATGTATTGTGTCCATGACTTGCCTATCTATTGTTTTCATTTACTTTATTTAAAACGAATTCCTCTATATTTAACTTTTGATTTTCAGTGAGATACAAAATGTATGATGTATCTGATCTCAAGGTTGGTGATATATTACGCAAGGATTTCAAAAAGTGGACAAGAGTAGGTCTGGACTTGAACTAACCTAGTCCTTTTAAGCTTGTCTTGGGATTTCTTTTTGCCCTTCAACGTAATGGAATATCCTTCCACTAACATAATAGTCGTTGAAACAGGTAAACCGGAGGGTCCTGGTGCTAGAACATCACAAATTGGGATGAGTTCCATTGGAATGCCAATTGCACAGCTTCTTCAACACGAGAACACCTCAGCGCGTGAAGTTAGAAATTTCCAACGTAAGTAAATTTTCATCCACTACATGCTCGTGAGATATTTGAACCATAAACATTTATCATATTGCAAGAAATATAAGTATTGAAGCCTGTAATGGTCAGCTTGTTCACTAATTCGGATAGTATAGGTTGACCTTTAATCCAATCTCACTTCAATTATTTACTTTCCTTTTATGTTGATAATAACGGAAGTAACATCCTATAATTTTGAAGATATTATCTTGCCGGTAGTTTTTTGTCGCCACTAACTTACACGTCTTTTATTCTTGTTTTCCCTGTTCCAAACTAAGTTGATGAATTTCATTGTTTAAACGATAAAGATATTTAGTTCTTTTTGTGTTTAAACTTTAAACTATAAAGATTATTATTATTATTATTTTTTTTTTTTTGTGCATTTTCATTAAGAGGTCGCACTTGGTGTGATGGCAAGTGCCTTCGCCCATGAGCGGTAGGTCTCGGGTTCGAGACTTGGGAGCAGCCTCTCCATAAATGGGGGTAAGGCTAGCCGACATTCACCTCTCCCAGACCCTGCGTAAAGCGGGAGCCTTGTGCACTGGGTACGACCTTTTTTAGCCGACCCCACTTAGTGGGAAAAGGCTCTGTTGTTGTTGTTGTTGTTTGTGCATTTTCATTGTTTTTATTGTTAATTTCAGAGATGGAGAAACTCCGGCTTCTCATGGTTGTTTCTGGGTATTATGATTCGAAAAGGAACTTCAAGGTTAGAGACGTGCTAATATAAGTTATATTTGACATTTTCTCTTTTTTGTTAATACGTGTTCTACCCGTTAATGATCTGGTATGCCCCGGGGCTTAATTTAAAACGAACCTATTTCAAAGAGGGTTTGAATCATTTCCTTTGTGAGTCATGATTATAAAGCCAAAGCTTCGAGTCGGTTAAGGATTGATCATTTGAGAGTCTATTGTAACTTAGATGTTCGAACAACTCAAACTTCTGTGTTTGACTTTGATTTGATTGCAATATTTTGTATCCTAATTTTGGACTGCCAAGTGCTCATCTAAGGGCCTTTTGGCATTTCTTTCCTCATGGGATGGGGAGTACTTTAAACAAAATGAGCCAAGTATGCGCTCAATTAATAAGTAATCCACCGACTCTCTGGGTATCCATACATATTTTGCTTCAGTCACAGTCTCTGGTCTTTTTTTAGAACAAACTGAAT